GGTGCACAGAAACGGAATTGTTAAGTGTAAATCTATAATCTGTTTTTATAGGTCTAATTTGTCACTTGAACAGGCTTGTTATATATTTTTGTACCGGCGGGGTATAGGGTAACTATCTGAACGTTCGACTGAATTAAATACACGGTAAATTACTTTAATGTCCAAGTGACTTTAATGTCCGAGTTACACAAATCGCTGTCAAAATGCAAAAATACTACTGTTTCTAGGTACCGGACAGCAAAATACACGTGGTCTATAGGCTCTAAATATTTTATCACTACTTTGTATCAGGGATATTAGGGATGGAATAGTTTCTGCTATGTAACCTGGAGCGACATTAAAAAAAGACATTAATTTTCCCTGTGTTTTTCCGCTTACATCTGTTGAGAAGAAAGTGCACTTCGCTAGGTAGACAGCTGTAGCATGTGGTTTGATCATTTTTGTCCATATGGGATTTGACTTGAGAGACTGAAAGTTGAACACAACCGGCCAAGTCCCCGGTCTGTCGCCGGACCTTGTGCATTGTGCTTTTTGGGCTGCAACTCTTTCATCCTGTCCTGTCAGCTGCTGATGGTGGCAAAGTTTCATAAGTATGACGTATATATTCATAAAGACACACACACAAGGCGCGTGGACTTTAAACACGTGTTTTATGGAAATATACCATTCACACAGACTTTAAAAATGTGTTTTTATTAGACCCGAATTCTTTGTAGTTCAAGTTAAAATTCTGCTATATAGGCCTACTTTTACATGGTTTTCAATTTAGAATGGATTGGCTACAACCAACCTTCCGCCCGCAGTCATTTTTCCAATCAGTGACTATGTATGTAGTTACAGTCAGAGGTCATGGAGATGGGGTGTGTCTTCTAGTAGGTACAGGATATAAGGTGGAATATATTTGAACAGTAAACCAATGGATTTCAGGGCAAAGAATTATAGCTCAGAGGCACAGATTAAGCTGACTAACTTGAAAGCAAGCTACCTGAACAGAATGAGGAAGAAATTTGTGAGATCACTGGGCAAAGAAGCATTGAATCGGGCCAGACTTCAAGCCACAAGCCCCTGAGTGGGAGTCATTAAAGCTATGTGGAGTAAACCTAGTTTCCAAGTCACCTGCAGAGCAAAGTCAAATATTCTTCTGGGTTTATAAGTGATCATCTCTATGAGCTGACACAATGCCTTTGTCAGCATAACAATAAAGCAGGAGTGGGGAACCTGTTCCATGGAGGTCCGGTGTGGGTGCGGGTTTTTGGGATCACCTCTCAATCAGCCAATAATAAAACAGTGGTTCTCAACTCCAGTCCTGTGGACTAACTGTTATTGGCTGATTGAGTGGCCATCCATGTAAAGGTAACTATAGTGCATTATGGATGACAGGTTCATAAATCATAATGCATAATAAACATGACTATAATGTGTCATGCCTTTTCATAAATATTTATAGCCATGTTTATAATGCTTTATGAATGCATTATAATGCATCACAAATGACTTTATAAATTACAGAACACATGGCTTCAAGTAAATTGTTACCGATGTGTCTTCAGGCACTACAGATTTGATTGTTGCCCTTACCGTGATCATTTTATAGTTTTTAGCACTATCTCTGTCATTGGTCAGTACATTGTCTTCATTAAATAAGTTAGTCACTTTTCAATACTTTATCTTGAAATGGATCAATATTACCAAGTGTATTATGGGTATAGGAAAGGACTGGAATGCTACTAATAGGAATACACACAGTTTGCTGATTCGGGTTCTTAAACATACCATTCTCATGTAAGTGCAATTTACTCTTTTATGAATCTTTTACGATAAAAACTTTAAAATCCTCAAGAGCGGCTAATGATTAGTATTTTATGAACACAATCTTCCCATAAACTGTACTTATCTTATACTGTCTTATAAATTGGGACTTTTTAAAAGGATAGTATTATAGTTCTGCCTAAGGTAACAATGCAGACATGATGATATTTTCCAGGCATTCTCATTTAACATTTCCAAACACAGTGCTTCACCTTGATCTTTATCCTGTTTATTGAGGAGTTTGGATCTAGCATATTGCTTTTTATTTACAGAGCAGATGCAAAACTAATCCAACCAGACTTATTTTAACCCTGATAATATTCCATATCGATTCTCCATTTTAAGTGCAGAGGTCATTTAGGAAAGTTTTCTGCATTCACAGATTCACAGAACATATGTTGACATAAATTATACAGTCACTCCATATGCATTCGACTGTCCCATACTGTATGTGAAACTCATTGTCACTCATCCAGCAACAGGATAAGTAAATATAGGTTGATGTCGATATAGTGAAGTTCTGGCCAAAATGTTATGATAAACTCCACAGATGGCTTACTCTTAAGCTGGGTACTCACTAGATCAGGGGTTTCCAACTCCGGTCCTGGAGAGCTACTATCCAGTAGGTTTTCTATCCCACTTGGCTTCTGATGAGCCACACCTGCTCCTGGTATTTACCTGAGAAGAGGTGTGGCTCATCAGAAGCCTGGTATGATAGAAAACCTACTGGACGGTAGCTCTCCAGGACCAGAGTTGGAGACCCCTGTACTAGGTCAACCAAGGCCAACGAATGACCAGCTCCTGCCAGCTCCTGTGCTGGTACACGCCAGCACGACTCAGGGTGATGGTTGACATACAGCCCAATCAGAGAGCTCAGTTTCACCAACTAGCTTTGACTAGTTTCACTAACATGATAAATCAGCCAAAACACAGATGGGAACCAGTCATGTCCGACCCACCCAATAGGCAGTCATTGATTCTCACTGACAGCCGAAGGCTTCCGATGGCCATGACTTGGTGTCTACCTGGTCCTTCCAGCTTCACGCCAATTAGTATACGGCTGTGAGGTTCTCAGCAAAAATTTATGTGCATTTTTTCTCCAGAGTGTTGCATTACAACACTGAATCCTGAGTTCAGGAGAATAACATCCTTATTGGAGGCCTTTGGGTTGGTGTTAGAGTTACATGGCTTATTTTTGATCCGTTCACCATTAGACGTGACATTCTACAATGCAGCTGTGATAATCAGCCAATTAAAATATGCTATAAATTTGTTCCATTTATTGTTTTTTTTATGTTATGCACGTGGTCATTGGCTGCCTAATACCATCAAGCAGTGTCACGGCGGCGAGGCATGGTGCAGATGGAAAGAAGGTGATGATCCACTTGTGACTCCAACACACAGGGGTTTATTAATAAACAGAACTGAACGCCAAAAGAGGAAACTACAAAATAACAGGACTATGAGGGGTCAAAATAAAAACAGGAAAAACAAGGATTAGCCAACTAAAGAAGACATAAGAAGTGTAACGTAGACACAGGAGCATGCACACAATGACTAACTACAGAACCGAGTAGAAGCTGGCACTTAAATGCAAACAGACAACCGGAACTAACGAGGGGGCAGATGGGGCACATGAGACGATTAACCAATCAGCATGGTACATGGAAACAGGCAACAGGTGGAGCCACACACTCAACCCACTGAGCTATGCAGAGATCTGGAGAGTAAGGAGAACACACTAGGGCTGGTAGGCTAGAAGAAAGAGAGGGAGAAGATGATGGCCAGTAACACTTGTTGGTCACACAGGGACATAACACATAGGACAGATTTAGACAGGTAATAATGGTTTAGAATTGTCATCATTGTAAAACATTTTCACCTCAGATCTTAATGCCTGGAGTACACGTATAAATGCAAGTCAGTTTGTAACTGGTGTAACTTATTGCTTATTGTGCCCTTTGTGTTTGCAAAACCCAATTCAGTGGCAATAGTGCTGGAAGTAGGGTTGCTGAGTTTACTTCCTCACCCCCTCCTGCCTGTTTCATCAAAGAAAACAAGCATGTTAATTATCTTGGAATGGCTCAGAGGCGACTTTATGATTATTTCTCAGAAAAACTGCCATTGTTAGTTGGTGATAGTGGCTGATGATACAAAAGAACTTCAGTAAAGTAGGGTGACCAGATAATCCGTGTTAGGGAGGACACTTTGAGTTAAGATTTTGTAAACTACCATTTCAATTACCATTTCAAGGATTTGTAAACTACCATTTCAATTAGAAGAACCTGGATTCGACTTAAGCGCAGAATTCTTTCTGTGCTGGTTGGTCAGTCTTCCAGAACCATGCAGGTGTCACTAATGTTAGTGTGAAACAGCTGGATGAGTCTTTCGATCAAGGAAACAAGCCAGTCAAAGCACAAGCAGATCTGAGCTATTTAGTCAAGCACAGGAGCTTTTCAGTTTTAAGGTAGTTATTAAACTTGAAGTAGCTCAAAGTGTCCTCCCAGATATGGATTATCTGCTCACCTTAAGTAAAATCTATTGGCCATTCTGATTTTTAGTACTCTGACCTCTAAAAGGCCTAAACGACAATTTTCATTTAAATTCAATATTACTGCCCCCTAGAGCCAAAATGTAATATAGCACTACATTGAATTACTCCGGGGAATGTCACTTTTACAGGCACTTCATGAAGACTGAACATGCCCTAGGATTTATGTTCTTTTAGATATTTAAATTCACCCTAAGAGAATTACCTCCCCCCTCCCCCAAGTACTTAACTGAATTCCCAGACACTTTGAAAAAATATACGGTTAGGGAGCACACAAGCATCTTTGCAAATGATCAAGAACACTGACATCCATAAGGCCCACACACACCTGGATTTAGAAATCAAGACCAAAATTCGGGACTAATGGGAGAGAAGTCAGAAATGCATGTACAAGGCATGTACATGACTTAAGAGTAAACTTAAGAGTCTCACATTTTAGAAAATCTGAGAAGAATCTTGTAAATAATCACCCATCCATCCATTTTCTGTACCCGTTTATTCGATGCAGTGCTGCAGGGATCGGAAGCCTGTCCAGGAAGCAAGGCAAGGAATCATCTGGGTGGGGCTCCAACCCATTGCAGTCATGTAAATCACGCTAAACATTCTGCCATGTTGATTCAGCAAGTCAGTGTAAATAAAACGATGGGTTTAAAAATTATTTATTAAATTAGCAAAAGTGGAAAAACAACATTTAAAAGCACACATAATACAGAAAAATAGTTTACATTAAAACTTGTCCTGTGATTTGACAAAGTACTGTACCCATAATTCATCAAAACAGATGGTTAAAAAATTGCCACCAAATTAAAAATCCTACGCTTTTCTGTTAAATTATGTAATTTTAATAGTTGTTCCAATAAAAAAAATCTAATGAATCCTTTTTTACTTACAATTCAAACATCTTAGCATCTACTGAAAACACATAAGTGGTGTCAAAACTCATATCTTGAGATCAGACTGGAGTGTCTTCTGGAGGTTGGCAATGCTGGCATCGAGAGCTGCTAACCCGCTCCTGAAGTCCAGCTCATCCTGGGTGTTGAATGTGGTCCAGGAGCTGGAGCTGCAGTTAGAAACCATGGACTTGGCTTCGGAGGACAAGAAGGTAGAATCCAGGGTGGACACACTGGCCCTGTTCACGTTTACTCCAATGTTTTTGGGAGGAACAAGGTGCTGCTGTTCGCTTAACGGTGTGACGTTTTTAGAACGAGAAGGATGAGTCACAGCCAAGTTCGTTATAGGGAAGTCATGATCAGTAACAGATAAATGATTCTTGCAAAGGTGTAATTTTTCCAAGGAGTGTGATAAGATCTTTGGCTCTTGTCCATTTAGCACTATGTTTTTATTTTCCAACAATTTTGGTGGACTTACTGACTGTACTTTTTTGGTTTCTTTCAATGGGATGTAGGTGATCTTCTCTAACTCTGGAACCTTGCATAGGGTGAAATTAAAAAGCTTATTCTCAGTGGTGGCAATATCTCTGTGCTTTGGTGAGCGGGAGCTTTCTGGCAGCTTGACTGTTCCTCTGCTGTTCCACCCAGAGCAAGTAGTGGGTTTGTCAGAAGAGTACCCATGATTCAAAGGCACCTGGCCGCTTGTATCCAAAGTCTTCAGGTACACGTGCACAGGATCAGAAGCAGGATCAAACGGGCAGGCCACCTTCTGCTCATCTTCAAACAAGTCCAAAACAGTTTTACTCAGGTGTGAAGTTGGATTGAATGCATCATTTTCCCGATGAAACTCTGAGAGACCGGATTGGTTATCAGGAAGATGCCTGGAAGACAAGAAGAAGCCATAAGTGGAGAATCCACTATATCATATTTCAACATACTGCATTAAAAGACTTGAGATCAGTGGCCTGTACTACAAAGCAGGGTTACTGTCTTATCGGAATAACTTTGTGAGTAACTTGATGACGTGTGGTGTAACTTCGTGATTAACCCGTACTACGAAAGGTGGTTAGGTTTCACTCGAGGCATGCTGCTACGGCAATTTACGCTGCATCACAAACCTGCTCTGAGCAGGTTATGTTCTAGGTTAAGTCGAGGTTTCTGCGTAAGCCAGCCCAATATGAGGCCCCTCCAACTACAGTTTCTCCGAAGACAATGCTGGCGTACCTGGACGATCCGTACGACACTGGTCCGCAAATCGTGAGGGGCTCTCTCCGCAGGGCAAGGGTTTTTAGAGATTGCCAGAATCTGCTGCCATACCCGGAAGATATTCTCCATGAAAGGTTATTCGTTTCCTTTGTCAGTTGATCGGTCCAGAGGTCTCTAATTCCACTCGCCGTAGCAATGCCCTCACGATGGAGCAGACAGTACGCTTTGCACTGCGATATTTTGCCAGTGGCTAGTTTATGTATTCCATAGGTGATGCTGAACATCTGAGCAAGAATACTGTTTGCCGTGCGGTTCGCAAAGTGGTGCTTCCTCTATCTAAACTGTTGGATGCATTTGTGGTTTTCCCTGATCATTTAAGGGCTCTGCGGAATAAAGAAGGATTTCATGCAATCGCAGGGAAATCGCAGCATTAAAATATTCTATTTTTGTAGGGAAATTGCTTTTACTGAACACAATTTCTCATAGGATTCCCAAGGGTCATAGGAATCATAGATTGCACACATCCCCATGAGAGCATGAGGGCGATTTTGTGAATCGCAAATCTTTTCACAGCATAAACCTACAGGTATTTTTCTCACAATGCACTTTTAGATCTGATATATGGGCTAGTGTCTACCTTAGGTTCACCTTCTCTTCACTTATTGGAGTCACATAAGGTGGTGATTTGGAATTTGTTAGCTTCTTCTGTAACATATTTGTTATGATTGATCTACTATTTTGATAGTATTGCACTTTAAGGAAAAATTTGACAGGTTCCCAGTCGTTTCTCACTACACATATGCTTCTGTTTTGTCCTGCAGTAAATCATTTGTTTGTTAATAGAAGGTGAGCCATTGTTTAAGTGTCATATGAACAGACACCGTTTTCCTATTAGCTGTAAAACATAGAAACACACTATTAAGTGGAGGCTAGACACAACAAATCTTTCATTTCATTGAGCAGAAATATAAATACATAGCCCTACCACTTGAGATGATGTTTTTATATTTCATCTCGACTTGCTGCCACGTATGCTTTCCACTGCTATTGCATTTGAAATCGGATCAGCTAAGTTATTGTTAACATTAGGTTTACATTATGAGTAACATCACAGTAATGGAACTTTAGGGAGCATTATATTACTTACAGGTGTCTTCTGAATTGTGTCGCATCTGTGAGCCTCTGTATTTATTAACAGTATTTCAATTCTTTTCAGACAACACTTCATAGTCTAATACTCAGTCGTGAGATATTTTAGACCACGTTTTATGACATGCATTTATTCGGTAGGCAATATGTTGCCAACAAGCCTGCCTGCTTTTGTTGGCTGCAGTGGTACTGGACTTCCTTTGCAGCGTTGATTTAAACTCCTCATAACCCTGCATAATTAGCATGCAGTCTTCTTCTGTGAAACATGGAGATCGCGCCATGAGTCAAACGGTGCCTTGCGCTGCCGAATGTGCTCCATTTATGTAAACGCGCACAAACTCCAATGCAGTTACTGTAACACCGATGTAACAAATCAACTTCTTAACTGGCGTCGTAGTACTGATTAGCACCAATTGAGACAACCTGATTTTGTGAACTCCGCCTTCGCAAATTGACTCCGGGTTAAATCTGATTTGGTTAAACCGCCTTCGTAGTACAGGCCCCAGATCCGTTTTAACGGAAGCAATACCAGTATACGATACGAGAGAAATCTACATAAGCAAACAACAGATAACATTTGATTTGAAAATGAGGCATATTCCCATTCAGTCACATTTGAACAGGGCCTCTGAGAGTCTCCCTTCTGCTGTATAGCGTTAATTCTGACTCACCTGGTCAGCTCTTTCAACCTGTTGATCTCTGCCTCCTTCTGCTGGAGGTGCATATTCAGTAGGTTCTTTTCCTCTTGTGACTCCTGGAGTTTGGACAGGCAGCTTTTCATTTCTGAGAGAGCAGCATCCACATCTGTGTGGGGTGGAAGCGTGTTTTCATATAGAAGTACAGTTGGAGGTATTAAACAAAAAATGAGAGATTGAGTCTTAAAGATCTAGAAACTTCCACTCTAAGTTAAATCAATTACAGTAAAATCCCGTTATAACGGACTTCAAGGGACCTGGCAAAACAGTCCGTTATATCCAAAATCCGTTACATCCAGAGTTGCTGTATGGCCAGAACACAACTACAGGACACCATTTACTCATGCCACACCCCAACAGACACACTTGTGGTATACATTATTATACTGTACATGTAGTAATCCAACTTTACCTGACCAGATGCATAACTATTAATAATCCCAACTACGTCTCTGCGTTGAATATGACCGGCACGCCACGTGCCTTGTAGGCGGAGCTGCATGTCCGTTATAGCCGAACAAAACTAAAGCCAAAGGCGGTCCTACCAAATTGCTTGTCCATTATAAGCGAAATTCCGTTATATGTGAGTCCACTATATCTGATGCTTTTTCTGCATGTTCTTAAAGGCACACGGCCGGGACTAGCGGACCTCGTCCATTATAGACCATATTCTGTTATAAGCCAGTCCACTATAACGGGATTTTACTGTACCAATTAACTTACAGCTGAAACAGGTGAGGACTATCCTTCTGCAAACAAATACTTAATTTAAAACTAGCACACTCAGGTCTGAGGACTGGAGTTTGTGCAGAGCTGCATCACTTTTAGAAAAGCGTTAATTACCCATTTTTATGCGACTGATGTCCAGCTCACACTGCTGCTTGCTCTCATGTAGCTCTCTCTGTTTGTCCTCTGCATCTTTCCGTAGTTTGCTGTTCTCCTGTTGTAGGACTTTGTTCCTCTTCTGAAGAGCTTCTATGTCTTTCTGAGCTTCCTTGAGCTGACTCTGCAGTGACAGGTTCACGGACTGCAGGGAGATTACTGAAGCCCATGAGAGAAACCAAAAATGTCAGGCCTTCGCAGCCAAAGAAGAGCTATGTTACATATTATGTGGGTAAAACAAACCACATACAATGGAGAGAATCTTTAAAACAAGTAAAGCCAGGGGCAAAGTATCCAGAGGTGCAACACAATTCGGTCTGATGAATATAACCTTACATTCAAAGTTGCAATCTGCTGGTCTGGCCTCTCTCTCCACTCTTTCACGCTCCATCAACTGTTGGTTGACTATTCTCAAACGCCTATGATGTCAAAATCATCACAATTAAGACGCAAGTCTATGCATGCTAGCATCAAATCAAGTCTATGCATGCTAGCATCAAATCAAGTCTATGCATGCTAGCATCAAATCAAGTCTATGCATGCTAGCATCAAATCAAATGCATGCTTCTCCGTGGCACCTTCGTAACTGCACATTCTCGTTTCGCAGTGGCTGGACGGCGAGCGCAATCTCCGCCTGGACGTTGGTACCGCCCACCAAAGAGGGGAGGAGATTGATGCTCTGCTCGACCTCGGCGATTAAACGAAGAGCCTCACAGTCAGCTGGGGAACGGGACCAGAAATGTCCAGGATGAGACGTTTGCGCAACACAGCATGCAAGTTTCTGGTTAATAACGGAGAGGGCTTTTACCTTTTCTGAGTACCAGTGCCTTCAACTCCCCAAGGAGACCCTTGACAGTCAGGACTTTCTTGGCAGTCTTCTCGGGGCTCAGAGATTTTTCCCGGGGGGGTGATTGATGCTTCTCAAGGCCACTCTGACATCCCATATCCCTGACAGGTGTGACGTCCACACAGTCCAGCTCATCATCTTCCGTTGAGCTGCCCTCGCTATACTCCGATGTTTCCCCCGGCTGGAGTTCACCCCCGCCATGCGGCCCCACACCGGGCACACTTCGCTCCAGCTGCATAGGATCGCACAGTGCTTGTAAAGAAGCTGGACCCTCTGGCCGCTGCAGTGCTGACCCCTGGCTGTCTGGCACAGGGCTCTGCTGAGTCAGCCTAGCGCCCCATGTGGGCTCTTCACACAAGGACCCAACGGCTGCTGGGTCAGAACAGGGAAGATGATCGGATTTGAGGGGTGCGTAGTTCTCTCTGCCAGAGCACCTTTGGCAGAGTGCGGAATTCAACACACACTGTATAATTTAAAGAGAGAAAAATAAAGTTTTGGCAAAACAGATATTCTACATAGAGTTCTCTGAGAGTAATGGAATAAATTCACACCTGCGCTGTTTGTACATTTAAAGAAATATGGAGGGAAAAACTATAAGAAAAGATCTAAGAACAGTCTAAGGATGAGCAAAGGCTTCCTAAGCAATGGGAAAATTCTATCCATTTGCCATTCCCTTGCCCAGGTAGCATAGGGCACAAAGGAGTGGCACACTCTGGAAGAGATGTCAGACTATTGCCAAACACACACACAAAATCCCCTTGTATTCAAGCACTATCTCTATCCCCAGATGTGGGCAGTGGTGGCTTAATGGTTAGGGAAGCGCACTTGTAATTGAAAGATTGCTGGTTCAAATCCCCGACCTGCAAGTCACCACTGAGGTACCCTGAGCAAGGTACCGCCCCCAAGCACTGCTCCCCGGGCGCTGAATTAGCTGCCCCCTGCTATGTTACAACGTCACATATGAGATAAATGCAGAGCATTGTTGCGCTTTGTGTGCTGTGGTGTGTCAACAATGACCACTGATCACTAAACTCTAATTCTAATGTTGCCTCCATGAGTATAAAAGGTGAATAAAACAACAAGAAGTCAAAGTACAGAAATTTCAAATCTTACAGGTTCACTGGGCACTGAATTATTGGCCCCGTCGGCACTCAAGATTGGCGTGGAGGTTGTCAACCGGCATTTAAAAACAGGAGGATTCTTCAGCTCTGAAATACAAGATTTTATAACGTGGAGAAAAATGTACCCAGGACATGCTTGAAATAGATTAAACATACAAACGATTAGCTTTTCAGCGTGGGTGCAAACCTGTGATTGGGAGGCTGCTCTGGATGTGTGTCTGATGACCCACGCCTGGCCTGGACCTTGAGGAGAGCTCCGTCTCGGGTACTGACACTGGCTGTCCAAAGGGAGTCTCTAACACGTGAATACAGTGCTGCTCTTGCACTGCAGGGAACAACTGCGAGGACAGAATCTTCTTTTGGACAGCTGCCAAGGGAAAAACAAAATAAAAACTATACCTGGATATTATGGCTGTTATTTTTTTTGTTCTAATGTCAGCACTGTGCTTATTTTGCAAGCTCCATTAGGAAATCATATTACCAAATAGGAATAGTCAGTGACAACAATTTGAAATGGGCCATTCTACCAGAAACGTACAGTATCTGTCCTGGATCCTTACAGTGAATAAAACTTGAATAACACAAAAATGTATAAACCTGACTTGATGGTTCATTTTAGTGAGTGTTTCTGTAAAGGAACGTGCCATTCATTAGGTTCTCAGATGGATTTTTCCTTTATTAAAAACAAATTCTGAAAAATGGACTGTCCCCAGCCAAACCGAAGCTGAATCTTTTATAGTTATGATAAAGTTTAATTCAGATAAAACATCACAACAAATTTATCATTCATGTCAACTGATTAAAAACAAGAATATTATTAAAAATTCTACAAATAAATAATATTTTAAAACTGTGCGCATGTTTTTGGTCAGTCCTGTCAAGTTTATATAAAATGCTACTTAAAAAGCCTTTAAGGTCAAAACAGTGACATTATACAACTGAGGCTGATGCTGATACTAATCAAGGGTGAGTTCTGTCATTGAACTGTATGATTTTAAGCCTGTTTTTGCATTTGTTTCTTTGAGGACTAGCTAAAGGCTCCAAGCCCTGTCAGGCTAAAATATTCCAAAAAAGAACAGAACTGTTGCAAAGGCAAAACATGCGTGAAATAGTGATTGAAATTCCTTGCTTGCATGCTAACAGTCTGAGCAATGGCAGGTTAAATGGCCGACTGTCAGATCCTGTGACATCAGGCCCTCTCACAGTCCTGTGTGGCAGGGCCTTACAAATGAATGGCATTGTTCCTCTGTATTATCTTCATTGCACATTTAACTAATGAACACAAAACATGACTTTCCTGCAAACAAAATCCATAAAGTCAGTCCTGTCCCTACGCCATCAGTCCTGTCACACAGGGCATTATGATATAAAAATTGACTATTTGAGAAAATATTGTTGAATCAATCTCTTTAACTGTGTAGATGAAGGTGGGGTGTGTATCCATCATTACTTTTTTGCAAAAAACCTCATGTAAATGTACTTTTTTTTACAACTACATCAGTGTCTGACAGTTTATTCTGTGCTTACCATCCACTGCAGGTGACCGAAATGTGGCTTATATTTCTTATAGGAATTACGAAACAATGTGATCAATAAGAAAATGTCATTTGTATCAAAGAAATTCATTAGGAAACCATTCGCACATATACAAATTTGTCTGTAATAAGGCTTGACATGTAAGTGGTGAAATTCATAGAAAAACATAGCTTATTCAAGCATCAAAACACAATGAGATGGCATGACACGTTTCTCATAGTTTAACATGCCCTCAGTATGACTCAATCTTCAGAAGCAAAAATAAGATCCTTTTCTCCCCCAAGGATTTTTAGAAGTGGAAATGTACGTTTTTGGTAGAATGTCCCTACAGACATGCACACAGCCAGCAAAATTTACATGCACTAGATTGTTTGTGCAGCTGTAAATAAGAGCATGTTTACCTGATCTCGTATTTGAGGGGGCGATCGAGCAAATCCGCCTCGGGGGCTTCATCCTCACAGCCTCACTTTTTCCAGGAGCTAATTTTGATTTGGCTTTTGAGGGGGCTGGTCTTTCAGGTTTGGAGCAAGACGACTTGGCCTCTGTTCGATCAGAAGGTACAAGAAAGGTCATGTCACGAATGGAACTGGGGCCAATCCTAGAACTTTAAGTAAAAGGGAAAAAAAATACCTGTTTTTTCAGTCTTAAGAATTCCATTTAACAAAGCAGCACATCGATCTAGTCCTTTGTGTATGGTTGTAACCTATAAAATAAGGAAACTTTCAGTGTTCACAATGTTTCAACTGAAATGCGTCTTGCCGTTTATATTACTCACACATGCATTTTTTACCTGATCCTCAGAGTCTGTGGAATAAAGCGAATAACAGGGATCCACAGGGGCTGGACATCTACCTTGCACCCTAGAAGAGCATAAATAAAGTGGAAACCCGACTGATACACAAGAGATGCCTTAAAGTACAAGCTGGTCTTGTGCAGTTGATATGCTAAGCATGATTCACCGGACTGCTTGTAACACCATCCCTCACAACAACACAACCAGTGAATACTCATAATGTATTAAACTTTAAAAACAGCACTCTTACTTCTTTTTCCCTGCTGTTCCTCTGCCAGCGCTGAGCAGCCTTCCGGATGAGATTACCTGAGGATTACAGTCATTTTTTTTTATTATAAAACCAAGTCAGCATTAAACTTGTCAACTTACAAAACTTCATTCCAACACTTTTTCATTAGATTGTTGCTATACTTCTGGATTGCTATAAATATATGAACGTTATCTACTAACTCCACACAAGTGGTAAATATTAATCGAGCAACTGTTAATCAAACAACGACAAGTAACAACGTTAACGTTGCTAAACTACAGTAACTACCACTATACATTACCTTGTGCTGTTTAACGAGTCCTTGCTTGGCCATTATTGGACGTTAAAAAAAACTAAAAAGGAATTACCGTATTTACAAGGAAGATTACATGCCAACTAGAAAGTTTGCTATATGAAATTCATAACACAAACAGCAGCTAACCAGATTACATATGACAACGAAACAAAACAATCGTCTCTGCAGCTGTCAAAGGTCTTCAATCTTCATCTACATATAGGTGTTTCTTGCCTTATTTAAGTATATAAAACCAAGAGAGCAAATTTTTAAAAAATCACTAGACATGTACAATTCCACTATACAAACGGAAAAAACAACGTATAATTAAATTCACCGAACACCAGCACAGCAAATCCGTAAAACGGCACATTTCGTGAAACGGAACAAAACCACTGTTGACCAATCACATCGTGTGTTGCGGCAAGGCATGGACTAATTTCATTGGTGGAAAACAATGGCTGTCAAATGGTCAAGTTCTTTATTTAACATTTCGTACGTCTGTCAAAAATGACACGCCCTTCTGCTGAATACCGTTGGCCTTAAAAATGGGCGGGAGTTTCTTAAGATAGGTAACCATGGAGACTAATTGTAGCGTTTGTAGGGATTTTTCGCGGGCAAGCAAGTTGTAGTCCCGCTTTAAAATAGAAAGAAATAGCCTATATTGCATGTAAACTCGTAACAAGTCACAATAAAAATACGATTATAGTCCAAACAAATATTGCGCTGGTGTTTTATTTAAATTAGTATACTATTGATGCCAAATACCACAAGTGTCGGCTACTATAAACACATTAGGCTATATAAAGGAACTGATTCAATTAAAAACTGAATAATTTGTATTTATATAACTTTTATTTAAAGTAGGTACGTATAGTTAACGAGATTTGGTAAAATACATTTAGTATGAATGCTGGTTGTGTTTTTACAATTAATTTAGGCCTACTACAATTGTAACTTGAAGACTGTAAATAGTTTACAAGGTGACATTAGAACAAATGGGACACGGTTCTGTAAATGTAGTTTTCACCCCCGGGAGAGGATTCATTTTAATGTCCTTTAGTAGCTTGTCTGGGGTTGAGTAGGCTAATTAAATAAGTCAAGGTTCAGTTTAATGTTCCTTTTGTGTTTACAGTTTGTTATATGGTTTATTGTTTAGATTAAGTGCTTAATTATTATGCGTTGCACACACGTTTACCACAAGCTTGCAGTATTCACCGCTGGAGATGAGTATAATTGTCTAATTATTATTCCAGTGCTTAGCACGCCATTTTCACCCAAGCTTAACATCTATTTAAATATTTAAATTCTTGCTTCAGTAAATTAGACCAAAGAATTTTAAGGCTATAATATACGAAGCAATCCTCCTAAGAACAGTACACCTACATAATGCTACTTGCTACCAAACTGAATGTATCTAATGTTTCCCCTTTGTAACACGTCCGGTAGCTTTAAAGGAAACGCAAGCATGAAATGAGTGACAAGTCCAGCTATGATACAACAACCCCTTCGAGATAGATTGCTGCAGAGGGCGAAGTATGCTTTTTGTTATATCAATGTTATAAATAGTTAATAATGATCTTTACGGGATAATCGCAGGAATTCGATGTTCTGTCGCGTCCATAGCACTGTGAACAGCGAAAGTTCGATTTAAAATATATAGACTATTACCACCAGAGGGCGATGATTCTACATTTGCAGAAAATAATGGCAATCATACTACTGTGTTTGTCTCATGTTTTGCGATTAATTTCAGTCTTTAACCGTTTTGCAAATTGACACTTTACAATGACATTCGTATTATTTTTACCTTATTCTTGAGCATTAATCAGGTTACTTATACGCAGTTAATAGGTATGAACTACAAATTTCCAAGACTGCAGCTGCAATGGAAATGTATGCGATGCGTTTAAGTGACTGCATGGGCAGGACACCTATAGCATGATGAAAATGGTGTGGGATTTTGCTGTACACTCTGCTAGTTTGAACTGTTGTACAGTCTCAGAAATGTTCATTCAGCGAGCATGTAGATGCTTTAAAATGCGTACAAGACGTGGAGATTTGCTATGTCAAGTTATACAAGTACAAAGCATGGGCATATAACCTACAGTAAGCAGTGTTTTTTAGTATTGAGTGGCGGCCGTTGTATTCTACCAAGTAGCAGTTTACTGTAAGAAATACCAATAGGATATTTTGGTAGGATTTTGTCTGTTTCGATAGGCTTCTCTCCATATCCTCCATAGATCCATGCCCTTTAAATTATGACATCCGTAAACCCATCCTGATTTCCCAACGAAAGAATCGCGTTAAGGTGCTTTCTTTTGGTATTTAACTGAATGGCACCCAATCTTAACATTCAACTCATAGATTTTAATGCTAAAACGACTGACAATCACTGAAATAAGAACAAGCCAGTTCGTCTCAGAACCAAGACGAGAATGAGCTCCGTCAATTGAGAAGACATACTGGATTTATACACCCCTAATTAATATTTTTATTTAAGGTTATCGCAAAGCAAAAATGACTAGTCTTAAAGCCAAAAACATCATATTTAGCAGCGTTGTAGCTGAGGAAAGACTGTCCCGTGTCTTCAGATATACGGGGAAATGTATCAAAGGGTGGAAAGGGAGGGGACGGTGCGGAGAGTCCGTGCCATTGTTAGGAATATCACCCCTGCTGACAGAAACACGCTTACCAGCGCTGCTTCACAATGAATGAAGATCTGTTTGGGGCAAGACGTCTTCGAATAATAAACATGGGTAATTGATTTGGGGAAAAACACAATCAGTTCTCTTTGAATCACTCGCGTTATATGATGGAGGTTTTCGTTACATCACCAAAATTGAACAGTGTGCGATTCTAATGTAACCTAATGCTGAAGTCGTTACAGTGTGCCGCTGATTTTTTACAAAGATGCTGACAATATTGCAGCAATATTGGACATTCAACGCAAACAGAACCTATTACAGTAACAGACCTTAATGGGAAGAAGTCTTTATTGCATGTTCAATTTATCACATTGGCTGTGGGATTTCTTTTGTGGCGCAGGGGATGCTGGAAGAGATTGAAATCTGAACAATAGACCTAAAAGCAGCGCTGCTCTTTGTAGCTAATAAAACGGACGGAAACCCACTCCAGGAAACCGAACCGCAGCCACCAAGAACACAAGAATATGGAGGTGATCGTGCACTGATTTTTTTTTCTCCAAACACATCTCACTGGATATACATTTCATTCGGTTTTTATTAAGAAATCAACAGGGAAAATGAATTCAGCTGAAGCAGCCGAAGAAGGACCCACAGATTCGGATACGGACTCGTTTTTCAAAACTGGTAGGGCTCTTATTTGAAAAAAATACATCGAATGTCATGTCTTTGAAGGAAATGATTTGGAGGCTGAATGATGACTGTACTTCGGACACACTGGCTCCGGTGTTGGTGTTGCAAAGGGAAACTGGGAAGCGCACCGGTTAAGATCGCATTGTTTCGATCATTTTAAGTGTTGTACTTGGCGAATGCTTGGGGCTAAGAGCTGCTCCAAGTAGACAAATACACTCATGTTGTATTTGTAGTAGTCAGCACATCATGACAAGAGATATGGTGCGTTTGAGCGCAAACTTACATTTATAAATCGCATTAATCGCCTTTAGCTCTAGCTCCTTAGTATTTGTTGGCGGCATTTAAATCCCAGTATTACAAGTACCGTTTCATATAATCTATTGTCACCTTTATTAAAGTTAGTCTGAAAATCTTGTCAAATCATATCATATACAAAACACAATTGCGGCAGTTTAATTGATGTTAATCTGACTCTGCCTGAATATTAGTTAAAATAACTCATGATAGATTTTTTTTTAATCCACTTTATGCGATCGGCAAATAGAAACACTTCTAGTCGTGTAGCGGAGAATGCAGAATGTGATTTGGTTTTGTAATTTGTTTTTCACTATTTTTAATAGTGGTATACTTGTGTATGTAGACATGTAAATATACCTGATCGGACTAGGGGCAGCTGTCACATCGTGCAGTGCAGCTCTTCAGAGGGAGAGTCCGCTCTCACACGGAGATGCAGAGGGAGGACTTTCCAGGTTTGCCTAACTCAGCACACAGAGAACGAGGCAACCGTCTCAGTCATAGCCCTGAGATAAATACCACTCCGGTGGGAATAAATGATGCCCGTTATGTTAATGGTGATTCTGTTGACCGTCGCCTTTGCCCGTGATTTGTAGGCGTGACGGGACTCCGGTTGCCCGGCTGTAGTATGTAGGCCTCTCGTGACACTGGTCATATTTCAGCACTGAGCAGTCTGTAAATTCCCCTCTTTTATATATTTACGGCATGCTGATTTTGTATATGGTAATTTGCGTTATTCTCATATGTGTTGAGAACTGCATAGGCCTGTATGTGCATAATAAATATGGATCTGATGGTAAGTCTATGATTGTCTTTTTAAGGCAGGTGAATTGAATGGTAACGATCTTTCTCTGGATGGGATTATGCCCGTCAGGTTGACTGAACCATGGCCGTAGCCTCAGAGACCACAGGGAGAGGTCCAGAAAGAGAGGGGGGTTGGAGGGTATCAGGGCGGGGGGGTGTTGGCGCTGGCTGAGCCTTTGGGGAAGGGGACACTTCTGGTGCATGGCTCGCTGTATGCCACTGTGGTACAGGAGGGCACATCTTGTCTACCAGTCTGCCAGAAAGAACCAAATGCCCTGCTTTTCACAAACAATGAGGCCTGATCTGGAATATGGCTAACTGTCCTGCCTGGATTTACAGCTGGAGATATTTTGCAGTCCTGTGTGCGTGACCATGCACTTGGGATGGAATAAACAAAAATAATAGACTAAATTCAATTTAGCATTGTATCGAATATGACTGTGGACTAGTTTTTATCTTTGTACCAATCTTACTGGGTTGGGAAACACCTTGATTAGTAAAAGTCGAACAGAACAGGTGTTTTTTAAAAATGATTTATTGCACTTGTTCAGAACTTTCACTTTATAAGAGAATCACATTGAATTTAAGTAATAAACAGAGTACTCCTTGTTTGTAATCTAATCTATATGAAGAATTGGGACACAAATAAAAAAATGTGCTGCAAGGCTGTCTTTGTGTCAGGGTCCAAACAGCTTCTTCTTATTCTTTTTTTGTTTAATCTTTATTAAAAAAAAAACAAACAAAAAAAAAACAGCTCACAGATGGCAGGGCGCTGTGAACGCCAGCCCAGCTAGAATGCGACGTCACCGCAGCGACCGTGTCTGCTTTGGCGACATCTGCTCCTGACTGAATGAGCCCCGTCACTGATATGGGGTATTGATGGTCGGTGGCAGGCAGGTTTACCCCCAGGGGCAACGGGGCAGGAGAACCAGAACGGTCCCCCCTTCAGCCTCAGGCGTATTACAGGGCAGGCTGGACAGGCGTTACGCGGATGATGGGGTGGTAATCCATTCATAAAGCGTGCCTGAAACACGGGTAAAGTGGGTCTTTCTGCCAAGGCTCACAGAGGACTTTCGGCCTGATTATTCTGCCCTTTAAAGTAGATTAACCTCGATTGCAAACTTAACCCCCTGCACTGCCACCACCTTATTGTACAGTGGACTCACAGCGGTAACATTTACAAACAAAGAAAAGAAATCTAGCTTATCCCTCTCGGTAATCGAAGAGCCCTGACTGCCCGAATCCATCGTGGGACGGTTTGTCGAGTTCAGCCCGCCGTTTTGTCTTTCAGTCAGGAGTGCGTGGCTGGGCCAAGGGCCCGGATTACAGCCATGGAGGAGGGGGCGGCTGGGGGCCCGCGGATCAATAACGGGATTGCTGGAGCTCGGCCGGTGGAGCCGGGCGGCGGGGGCCGAGCGAAGCTTTCCGTGGCGGTTACTCCCTTTGATTGCACGCCTTAGCGCGCGGCCTGCGCAGGCTTTACTAACCCAATCAATTACCCCATTACTTAATTAGACTGCAGCAGGAAAGCAGCCATTTCTTCCGTGAATTAGATCAGTGGGCAGATTTAGCGCGCGGGACGTGTAGCCGTCGATGCTTTGCCACCATGCTTAGGTCTTTGTGGGGATTTCCCTCCATCTCTACTCTGCCTTCACGGTCCAGGTACAGGAATCTGTAGCACATTTCGAGAGGGATAGGTTGTAAAATTTGCATAGTACAGCACACCCTGTATGACGAACAGGCCCCTTACAATATACAAGTATATCCAAGTCTTATATCTTGCTGTATGCAGGGGTGTAGCAGCCATGGGGTGAGGGGGGACATGCACCCCCCCCAATATTTAGATCCATAAATAGAGCTTTGTATTTTAATGATTAAGTTGTGTCCTCCCCAATATAAATTTCTCCTGTGCCAGTGGCTGTATGGACCCACTACAGTAGTGGTCGCCAAGCAGTTGATCGTGGAGATATTCCGCTCCCCCCCCCCCAACCAGCAAAATTTACAGAAGGCTGCTCCCCCCCACCTTTGTCAAAATATACCGTCGTGACTCTGTAGCTCCCCAGATTATTTTCTTTGTAAATGTATCTCTCTTTGTAAAAGAAGGGTTGGAGACTACTGCGCTAAAGGAACTCAGGGACGACATACGAACACTACACACACAAACCTGCAGGGGGCAGACTCCATCCCACAGTCCCAGAGACAGTAGCCAATTGGCCATGCCGCCCTGGCTTGCCTACGGCGTCATCAGCCTGCACAGTCTGCGAGCGCTTATTAGTAAAGCGGGTGGAGGCTTGGGGCGCCGTGGATCTGAGCTACACGGAGGCCCTCTCTGGTAGGATATGGTCCTGATGCAGGAAACACGCCACCTTGTTCTTTAGAGGCTTCTAAGTGGCACTACAAGCACGGAGGATAAGTCATCTTCACCTCTCCCTCTTTGTTTAAGTGGAAAATGAGCTTAGTGGTCAGTGGATTATTCAGGCTGCACCAGGGTTCTGGCAGCTGTCACAGTCAATGCGATCATGTGACCCGTCTGAGTGTGAGGGTGACACATTACCAGATGCTTAAGGATGATACCCAGGGGGCGATGGGGTTTCTAACGTCAGGAGAAATGCGGACATCCTTCAAAATGGTGTATGTTTGCAACTATTTCTTGGTCTTAGTATTTTGCATCATTTTATCCAGCAGTCCCTTTGTATAAAAAAACAAGGTTGCTTTATACTGAGCCGATGCCGGTTTGTCATTGATTGTAATCCCTTATTGTAATGCCGTTCCCCTTATTTGTCTTTATGCAGAATGTCTGAATGTCTGCGTCTGTCCACAGGACATAAACGCCACTAAATAAATTCAGCCCAGTGTTAAAAGGAACGTCTGCTACTTTGGGCTCCCGTGGTTATTGCGTTTGGTGTGGACTGCCCTCCC